AAGCTCCGCCTCTTGGAAAAATCCCAAACAGCGCTGACAGCCCAAAGGATCGCAAGTCCTAGCAGCGAAATAGACAGATTGTGGAATACAGTGCATGAATTTATTCAGTGAAGATGCTTGAGACACACTTGTGTCTTGTGAATAAAGGCTTTTCCTACATCCTGCTGCTGTCTTGGTTGCCTGACACATCTCGACCCTACTCTAAGGCTTACAAGAGCTGTCACAGTTAGAGCAGACTTTAACTGCCCTTCTTTTGTGAGTGTTTTTATTTTTATATTTTTAATAGTGAGTTATGTAACAGAGATACACTAAATATTTCATTTTCTGTTTTCTTTATCATGGTATAACATACTTTTGGAGAAAGATACTGTGAAGTTCCATGACATTTTGATCAGGGTAAATCAGAGTAAGTATTTTTTCCTATGTTTTATTCACTTTGTGGACTTTAAAGATTTGCACAAAATCATTTTAAAGATTTGCACAAAAATAAATTGCAAATGAACATATTTATTTTTGCAGTTTACACACTGAAAGTTTGGCAATATATAGTGCACTTTTTAAATTGCACTTTGAATTTATTGTTTGCAGTTAATATGTGTATGTACTTACAATTTATACAATTTTAAAGGTATAGTGGTCCTTTCTGTGTTATATGTTTTAAGAGTGTACTTTTATGGGCAAGTGCAGCTTTTCTCTTAAACACTTATTTTTTATTTTTATATTTTTATAATAATTTTGCATTATTTTTTGCACATAAATTAGTTGTTTTTTTTTTTAAAAGGGGGACAATTTATCCACCCTTATATTAGCGTCTTTCTACTTGTTTTTGTTTTATAGATTTTATACTAAATACACTGCAATTTAACACACTAGTAATCGTTACCATTATTTTAATATTCTTTGTGGTTGGTAGACCATTCTCTTACCACCTGTCTATAACTCATGTTATCATGTGTTATAGATTAGATGTAAAATTGGAGTCAAATGAGAGCCTTGGGTCACCTTTCTCATTCACACTGTTATTGGAGAAAGATAGTAAGAGATGCCTTTTAGATTGCTGCCTATCTATATGGCACAATATTAGACCTATTGGCTGAAGCTGTTTGCCCATTTGACCGACCTGATACAAAGAAATTCCTTAGCAACAGGCACAGCAGAAGAAGATAGTCCCATACCGCTTGTAACAGAGCTCCAGTATTCCGACCGAGTACCTCCGCCAAGTCTACTTCCTTGTAGCTATCAGGGTCCCTGGAGCACTTTAGACCCAGTCGCCGAGGCTTGACTGGGATTACTGAGGGCCTTTTCCACTATGGACCAGGCTACTGTGTTTTTTCCATCAGCAGGTTGAAACAGCAACTCACTTTAATAGAAATAGCACACATATTTAAGCCCCCAATAGCCCCCAATATATGGTAATTATTTGTGTAAACGTTTTGGAATTCTAAAAAATCAATCAGCAACAAATGAGTACGCAATATTATAACCAATATTATAAGATAGTCGTGAAAGTGTTTCAGAGCTATTCCCTAAACGCAGAATTTTTCGCAAAATAAATACTTGCATAAAATTATAACTTCAATTGCTCTGCCAATTGGGTTCTTACATTAAAACATAAGCTTTAATATTAAAAGAGTCATCAGTGTGTCTCCTGGCCTTGCTGTTGATGCTTTCTCAAACCTTGGGTGCTCCCTGCGCCGGTGCAGGGAGTGAAGCCAAGAAGATCGTAGAGACTAACTCTCATTTTTCAACACTATCTGAGCCAAGGTCCATGTACCGGTATATAGCTGAGGAATATATTACCGTTGGAATCAAAATTATTCAACGCCTATTGAAAATCAGGTTAATTGTCAAAATTTACGGACTTTCAACTGTTTGCAATGCGCAAATCAAACAAAAGCAGTTGGAATAGCTCGACACAAGGAATGCATTAAGAAAATTAAACTTATAATGACTTACAAGGCCTAATGCAAGCACAGTGTGCATGCGCATTAGGTCCCCACACATTGGGTGACGTCAAAGGAGGCAGACCGTAACCCAACACTGAGGAACATCAGTGCTGGAATCAGGTAAGTGAATAAACATCTTTTTAATCCTTTATGTGCCTGAGAGGGTGTATGGGAGAGGGGGATTAGGGTACACGTTAACACTATAGAATTCCTTTAAAAAGACCCCAAAAGAACTTAGAGCCCCTCTCTAAAATAAACTCAAAAATCCTAAATATCCTTTATCCCACTGCCTAACTAAACCCCTTTCAAACTTTTAGTCGTCTTAACACTAAATGTCCTTTGTAAATTTGTCATTAACCACTTTTAAACCTAAAATGTCCTTTACCTTAACCACTTCTAACGCTATAATTTAAACCTCAATGCTTCAGTGTCCAGTTGATAAAGCCATTGAACTCAGTTTATTTGCTGATTTCATTTTTGTAGGAGTTACGAGAGGAACATTAGAATTCTGTGCCTACAGACAAGTGACATATAATTCTGGCCCTGTCTAAAGTCTTCTTTTTTAACATTGTTATAATGTTTGAAAGAGCCATTTCACAGAAGATTGATCATGTTAAAATTAGAAATTACTGACATCCAAAACAGGTGTAAAATAATCAGGAAAAAAAACAAAAAAAAAATGATTGTTGTTTATAAAGATTATATACAATTGACAGACTACTACCTATGTTAATAGAGTAATACATAAAAACTATATAGTTATTTTATTGTATAACTCAATGTGCTTTAAAGTGTTGATACAAAATACGCCTGCTCTAGGCGTTCTAGAACTTTCTAGAAAAATAGCGTGCTCTTATTGGGAGGTGAACCATCACAAGATAAAAGCTTAATTTGCATGCGAGAATTGATGGAACGATCTTTAAAATGTGCAAAGTCTCCTGAACAAATTGTGTCTGATACTTTTTAATCCTCTGTGACTTTCTCTGTGCCTGTGCTATAATACTGACAGCACAATGCAGTATGTCTGTCCCTCAAATACGCTAATGCTCAGAAACAATACAAAGTAAGTTTTGAAAAGTCACATTGAAACCATATCCTTCCCTGCAGGTATGATTAAGGCAGAGATTACACAATACTTTTAGTTATACCAAATCATACCAGCAAGGAGCGTTGTGATTGGCTGAAAGCAGTCAGCTTAAATTCTTAGCCAATCACAGCTGCCAGTGCCTGCTCAGGCTAATGCTTTTTCATTAGCCCAAGGAGCACAGGAGGGGATGGACTGATGGGGACTCTTATGCCTCGTTTCCACTGAGCGGATCGGTTCAGGTCGGTACAGTTTGGAAGGTTTAGAATGGTCCAGCCTGTTCTGGTGAGCGTTTCCACTGCAAGTCAGAACTTTAGGGGCCATGCGGGGTTTAGAAAAAATGCTCTTCCTGTCCACCAACAATGGATTGTATAGTAGCTCCGCCCTAACCGAACCGTCCCATTTCCTATGGCCCATCATCTGAAGCAGGACCCTGAATGGTGTAGTACGGTTCAGATGTATGGGCCACTTTCATAATGGAAACACTCAAAATAGCGAACCGTACCGTACCGAACCGAACCGATCCGATCCGCTCAGTGGAAATGAGGCATTATTTAGCATTTAAACATTTAAAACATTTTAACTCGGGGCGGGGTGTGGTGTGGTGTATCACCAAATTAATATATATATTACACAAGGTTCGTCTACATTAAAAGGTATTTATTAGAAGGCAACAACACAATACTATAAATTTATCACAAACACACAGCCCAGACCCACGGAGCAACAACCCTTTTTAAATCTATCTATCTATATAGTAATCCCCTTCCCCACACGTTTGATCTCACCCACGGTTAGGCTTTCACAGCTAGTAATGGCTCACTGCTGCAAGTTCAACATCACATCCACCAAGGAAGAAACACTGCACATCTGCTCTGCAACACAGCCAAGAAGGAACAGAGAGGAATGAGGATAGGGGGAAGTGGTTATCTCTTTCCTGACTTGTAAAAGGTATGGAATTACCCAATTACCATATCAAAGGGTAAAGCTTATCCCCCTGTAAGAAAGATCTACATGAACTTGGTCACATGACCCCTGGTCACCATATTAGTTTGATGACAGAATGTCACCACACGGGGCCAGACCACTGAGCAGTATAGAGTCTCAGCAGCTCCTGCATTTTAGGGCAAATTTAGACAAATCATTTTTGACACTGGGCATTAAAGGACCACTATAGTGCCAGGAAAACATACTCGTTTTCCTGGCACTATAGTGCCCTGAGGGTGTCCCCACCCTCAGGGTCCCCCTCCCGCCCAGCTCTGGAAAGGGGAAAGGGGTTAAAACTTACCTTTTTCCAGCGCTGGGCGGGGAGCTCTCCTCCTCCGATCCTCCTCTTCTCCTCCCCGTCGGCTGAATGCGCACGCGCGGCAAGAGCTGCGCACAAGCATTCAGCCGGTCACATAGGAAAGCATTCACAATGCTTTCCTATGGACGCTGGCATGCTCTCACTGTGAAAATCACAGTGAGAAGCACACAAGCGCCTCTAGCGGCTGTCAATGAGACAGCCACTAGAGGGAATGGGGGAAGGCTTAACCCATTCATAAACATAGCAGTTTCTCCAAAACTGCTATGTTTATGAAAAAATGGGTTAACCCTAGCTGGACCAGGCACCCAGACCACTTCGTAAAGCTGAAGTGGTCTGGGTGCCTAGAGTGGTACTTTAACTGACTGATCCTAACCACCGAGTGTGAGGGGATATTGTGGAGTCTATGAGGATACCATTTTTGCTGATAATCGTGGAAGAAACACCCTATCATTAGACACGAGGCTTTATGTGAACCGGGTGGGAGAGGCGGCCGATCTCCCAGTCCGAAGACGTGTGGCGATGACCTACACCGAACAAGTGCCCCCCCCCCCTCCCCTGGACTGACGGTGGTGATGGCGGTCCACCCCTGGGAGACAATCCTGATCTGGTGGGAGCACAGGAGAAAGCAAAGCAAGTAAACCTGCAACTCAGTGGGGCTCCTATCATGGCAGATTCCACATGTCTCCCCAGCCCTACTGACTCATACTATGAAGTCTGGAACAAGCTGGATGCACTCTTTGCTGACTTCTGGCACAAGCTGGAGGGTAGGATGTGGATACTTGCCTCACCACAACCAAACAGCCACCTACCCAGGATGCCACTTCCAAACCGGAGCAGAGCTCAGAGGGCTCTACTTTCTAAACGAGCCTCATCAAGGTGGAAAACCAAGAGGCGCACACCTCCCCAGAACAGGACGCACAAGCTTCTTGTGAGACTCCACCAGGGACCTCAAACACTATGGAGAGACCTGACCCGGCAAATTCACACACCTCATCTGACAGTTCCCGGGTCCAGAGGACTGAAAAACCTCACCACACTCCAGCTCCTGACTCCACAAGCAGACCAGTTCCATCTAACAGCTATCAGATCTAGAGGCTCGCTATGCATCACTATGCTGCAGGAATGTAAAGTACCTCTGGCAGGCATTGGCTGAGTAAGCTCCCGGACTAAGCAAGGGGGAACCTAACCTCATCAGTTTCTCCTGCACACAGCCACCACAGGGAGAGCAATGCAAGTTAACTTTAATTGTCTCCTATCTTATCCAGCTTATCTAGTTTAGTTTATGACCCTGTGGAAGCCTCCTGGGGACTTTTACTTAATTCTTGCTTACATTACTTTAGTGACCCAGCCTGTCTCTTACTACTCAGGTCTAAGCAAATATATAGTCAGTTTATAAGCAAAGTTTACCCTGCTCAGCCACCTATCTGACTAGTTTGTCTCTTGTCATTTAAAATATAAAATGTGCAGGCTTATCGACATGTATTACTGCTCAATTCATTTTGATCAAATGTCTATGCAAACCTGTATGTCTCAAATGCACACAAAAATAAAGAATTAAAAAAACAACAAAAAAACAAACCCCACATTTTAACTCTGAATGGAAGGACAGCGTCAGGAGACTCAGACTATAACTAGCTCAATGAACTGAAGCAGTTATAGTGCCTACAGTGTGCCTATAAAAGCTTTTGTGTTTGAATGTGATATGACAGATTAGACACAGTTATGTGTTACACAAGATGGATACTTTATTGTTACCAGAGTAAGACATGGATTAAAGGTATGGTATGGCATGGAATATGGTGACATGCGCGTGTGTTTTTGCACATTCTAGTCTCTCTCTATACTGTGTTTGGGTACATAGTGTCACTGTCTTTCCTGGTGACAAAAATTCAGAAGAGGTTTCTTTCTCTGATTTAAACTGAAAGCCTTTTGCTGTTACTTAAAATATGGTAACGTGAGCTTTCGGACTGCATTAGGAGCGGTGAGAAAAGTCATTCTTTGATGGACATTTCTTCATATTGATCATAGGTCAACCATTTAGGGTAAACTGCTGTTAGCTTTGATTGACTTCATCCTGCAATTTGTGATTATTCTTCCTGGTATTGGCATTAAAAAACTTTTTGCAGGAAGGGAGAAAATCCAATCCTCCTTTATTGGGAGAACATACGTGAAAAAATTCACTTACATACCTAAAAAAGAGTTTTCTATCATCAAAACACTGTACGAACATTTAAAAAGCTACTTACTGCTACAATATAAAACCTGACCTAAAAACCTCATCATTATCACCTCATCATTATCCATGTCCTCCTTTTAACACAGTGAAACCTTTTCATTTCTAGGTCTGATTTTCCGTATCTGAGGACAGTGCATACCTTCTTATGAGTACTGATAAATTGACATTTCTCATGTTCATGGCTTCTCAATTTTCTTCTTATTATTCAGTAATAATTGCTGATTCTCATTCTATGCGGCATATCATGTTCTCTAACTGGTCTCTCCCTGTTTGTTCACATTGCAGCATTGGTTGCTGTTTGGTTTCTACAGTTTTCCCATGATGAAATGAGCATGCAACATGATTGCAAGAATGGCTAAGATTCGTGTGGTCTGTACATTGTGCTATGAAAACTGCTCCCAGATGCATAGACCAGGTGGTTTAATCGCATGACGAGGAATCGTGCCGAATCATGGAGGCGATATGTCTTACACAAAAAATTGTAGTTGTAGTTTTAAGGTAAGCTACATTGCTCTCAGCCAAATACAGGTTTAGAATAGAATGTGTTCTATTAGTTGAGATAGGCTTATCTTTGGTCATTAAATAATGTCTGTTTTTTTCCGCATAGAAATCAATGGATAATAATCAATTACAAGCGATAAGCTTATCTTATCAATTCAAATCTAACTCATGGTGTACTTAGAAACAAAAAATGTCAGTTCCTCCCCCTGATGTTCACTCCAGTACCAAATCTTTCTACCTCAAACACTCCCTCCATGCAGAAAGATAGAACAACATCCCAAGAAGGACACACATGGGGAAAAAGCCGCATAAAGAGCCTTTAATAGATTGTTTATTATTTGTTACAATTGTATATATTTATTTTTGGATTGTTTGCTTCACAAAAGGTAAAATAAAATTCTTATACTGATCAGCCACAACATTAAAACCATATACCTAAGATTGTGTAGGTCCCCTTTGGCATGCCCGATGCATCGAGGCATGTGCTCCATAAGACCTCTGAACGTGTCCAGTGGTATCTGGTGCCAAGACGTTAGCAGCAGATCCTTTAAGTACTACAAATTGTGAGGTGGGGCCTCCATGCATTGGATTTGTTGTTCCAGCATATCCCACAGTTGCTCACTCAGTTTGAGATCTGGGGAATTTGGAGACCAGAGCCACACCTTGAACTGTTTGTCATGTTCCTTAAACCATTCCTGAACAATTGTTGCAGTGTGGCAGGGTGCATCAAAGAGGTTACAGCCATCAGGGGACATTGCCATGAAGGGGTGTACGTGGCCTGCAACAATCTCTAGGTAGGTGGTACATGTCAAAGAAACATCTACATGAATGCCAGGACCTGGCAAGATTTCCCAGCAGAACATTGCCCAGAGTTTACCACTGCCTCTGCTGGTCTGCCTTCTACCCATTGAACATCCTGTTGCCATCTCTTCAGCAGTTAAACAATGCACATGCACCTGGCCATCCAGCTGATCTAAATGAAAACATGATTCAGATCAGACCAAGCAACCATCTTGCATTGTTCCATGATCTAGTTTTGATGCTGGCACCTTCAGCAGTTGACAAGGGTCATCATGGGTACTCTGACCGGGCTGCAACTGTGCATACCCATACATAGCAAACTGTGGGGCACTGTATGTTCTGACACCTTTTTATCATAGGCAGCATTAAGTTTTTCAGCAATTTGAACTACAGTAGCTATTTTGTGTTTTCGAACCAAATGGGCTAGCCTTCACTCCCCATACATCAATGAGCTTTTGGAATCCATGACCCTGTCAAAGATTTCTTCGTTGCACCATGTTTGGTAGGCATCAATAACTATGTACAGATGGATACAGGAAAAGGTGGTTTTGCGCACACAATGAATGCTTGATAATATAATCTGTAACATAGACAGCTATCATAGGGCAAAATGCATAAACCAATAACTGGTATTAAAAATGATTAGGAACACTCACACATTAGAGAGCCATATAAGTCAGCTCTCTACTGTAGTAGCATGTAGAATACTCTGTACTGTAATTGGAATGGTCCCCCAGGAACAAGAATCTGTTTGTCCATTTTTTATACCAGTTATTGGTTTATGCATATTGCCCTATGATAGCTATCGATGTTACAGATTATCTTATCAAGCATCCATTGTGTGCGCAAAACCACCTTTTCCTGTATCCATCTGTACTAATGTAAGTGTTTTTAAGGTGACTAAAACACTGGTTTGGTTTTAGAAGCACTGGGATTTGCCATTTATTATCTATTTACTGTTTAGCTCCACTTATTCTATTGTTTGTGTTTGTATCAATAACTATGTAATGGGAACATCCAAAAAGGCTTGACATTTCGAGATGCTCTGACATCGTCTAGCATTTACTATTTGGCCCTTTTCAAAGTCACTCAGCTCTTTTTCGCATGCCCATTTTGCTTGCCAATTTTTTCTGCTTCCAACACATGAAATTCAAGAACTGACTGTTCACTTGCTGCCTAATACTTGACACGTGCCATTGTAACAATATAATCAATGCTACTCACCAGTGGTTTTAATGTTGTGCCTATCAGTGTATATTCATATCAACCAACTCCAATGGCTGTGGCAACTCGAATCTCTAGTACAAATTTAGCTCAACACTGCAAATGGCTTTGTGAAGATCAGATTGCTGTGCTTTCAACTCTCCACAAACAGTTGTGTCTTTCCGGGTGGGCATGACAAACAATTTTATTTGTCAAATCACCCCCAAAAGGGTTTTAACAGAAAACTTCAGGACGGCAGACTAGTGGCAGCATGGTCAGCCGTGGCCCTGTGCAATTTACTAAGCAGGGGCAGCTTGCATATGCCCAAAAAGCATAAAACCAAAATCTTACTAATTATATCCTCACATGTCTTTTTACTGATTATATTGAAAAAGATCTTTGTCAAACAGTCAAATTGATGATGTGAAGCATAGAAACATAGAATGTGACGGCAGATAAGAACCATTCGGCCCATCTAGTCTGCCCAATTTTTTAAAAATACTTTCATTAGTCCCTGGCCTTATCTTATAGCTAGGATAGGCTTATGCCTATCCCACGCATGCTTAAACTCCTTTACTGTGTTAACCTCTACCACTTCAGCTGGAAGGCTATTCCATGCATCCACTACCCTCTCAGTAAAGTAATACTTCCTGATATTATTTTTAAACCTTTGTCCCTCTAATTTAAGACTATGTCCTCTTGTTGTGGTAGTTTTTCTTCTTTTAAATATAGTCTCCTCCTTTACTGTGTTGATTCCCTTTATATATTTAAATGTTTCTATCATATCCCCCCTGTCTCGTCTTTCCTCCAAGCTATACATGTTAAGATCCTTTAACCTTTCCTGGTAAGTTTTATCCCGCAATCCATGAACCAGTTTAGTAGCCCTTCTCTGAACCCTCTCTAAGGTATCAATATCCTTCTGAAGATACGGTCTCCAGTTCTGTGTACAATACTCCAAGTAAGGTCTCACCAGTGTTCTGTACAATGGCATGAGCACTTCCCTCTTTCTACTGCTAATACCTCTCCCTATACAACCAAGCATTCTGCTAGCATTTCCTGCTGCTCTATTACATTGTCTGCCTACCTTTAAGTCATCAGAAATAATCACCCCTAAATCCCTTTCCTCATATGTTGAGGTTAGGACTCTATCAAATATTCTGTACTCTGCCCTTGGGTTTTTACGTCCAAGATGCATTATCTTGCACTTATCCACATTAAATGTCAGTTGCCACAATTCTGACCATTTTTCTAGTTTACCTAAATCATCTGCCATTTGGCTTATCCCTCCTGGAACATCAACCCTGTTACATATCTTAGTATCATCAGCAAAAAGACATACCTTACCATCAAGACCTTCTGCAATATCACTAATAAAAATATTAAAGAGAATGGGTCCAAGTACAGATCCCTGA